GGCTTGCAAGCATAGAAACCTTGAAACCTAAACCCTGAGCCCTAAGCCTTAACCCTAAGCCCCTAAACCCTTAACCCTAAGCCCCCAAACCCTTGACCCTAAGCCCCTAAACCCTAAACCCTAGGCGGGAGGAAGCGCGGCTCATTGCACGACGAGCTGTGGAAGCTCAAGCCTATTGGGCAGATGAGTGGCAGCGGCCACCCATATACGTACGAGGCAGGTTTAGCGTCTAGGGTCTAGGGTCTGGGGTTTAGGGTTTAGGGTCTAGAGGCTTTAGGGTAGGGGTGAGCAAGGTTGAGAAGATTTGGCACTTTCAAACTAGCAGGACCCCAATCCCCCAAGTACTAGAATCCTTATCATAGGCTCTCCCAAAACCAGGACCCTCAATTTCTGAAAATCTCCTTTTGTAGTTTGAAAACGCTAGACCCTAAACCTCCCTAAACCCCCAAGCTTAGATGGAAATGGATCCCCGGCCGAGGCCTGACATCCAAGGCCTGGTGGGCACGGGATGACTTCCCCTGGGCGGCTGACCTCGAGAGCGCGTATCCTGCAATCAAGGCTTGTCATACTAAAAATAGTAACAATCTCTAACAACACTACTAGAAGTAATTTGATAGTAGCTATATCCATATTGGTAACAATTATTGTAGGTATAAGAAGAGCAACAGGAGCCAACATAGCATGCATAGAACAGTAAGCGCGGAAGGCAGAGATGATGCAGCTCTTCGGGTCGCGCGGTGATTCTGGTGGCGAGATGCCACGAAGTTGGGTTCGAGTTGGAGATGATGCTTGTTATTATATTACCTTTTTCTATTACTAGTATACTATAGCTTTTTGGTATAAGTATTCTAGTGACCTTAAAGACTCTCTTCAAACGATATGTTATCTTCACCTTAAGTACTACTATGAGTACTCTGGGCTGATGGCTGTGCGTTGTCCATGGGCCCATCCTAAGATAGAAAGATATGGGAGTTTCCCAAAATTCAGGGTACCTTCTTGGGGGTTCCCACTATAAGGACTATAGTATTTTGGGCTCTATATTGGGGTACCCCTATTTTGGGAAGCTATTATATTCGCCTAGGAGCGGGCCTCGCAAGACGGTAGCTTGGTGGCACTTCACGCACGACAGTGCGGCATGTGCAGGAAGGGCTGTGGTGGAGTTTGCAGCTTGGTTCAGGGTTTAGGGTTTACTATTACGATTATTATTGTTAGTATTACTATTATTATTACTACTATTACTATTACCATTACCATTACTATTAGACTTTAGGGTGTAAGGGCATCTCAGGAGACATCGTGGCTCCAGGGGGCGAGTGGAGGGAATTCCTCCTGTACTCAGCCCAAGACCAGAGCAAGTCCACAGCCAACCCCGAGGCAACGGACAGATCCTTATTCGAGAGTACACAAACCATGACATGGGAGGGCCTCTTTATCGAGTCCAATATGTTTCCATAGCCTGTAAGAAAGGAGCCCTGGGTTCTAGATCACTCCCATGTTGTCACATGACGGGCAAACAGTGCTTTATTGCAGCAGGTGTTGAAACTGTTCCCTCAGACGTGTGAGCTGTTGGAGTCCAAGCTGCCTGGTGCGGTTGCCATGGCAAAGATTGGAGCTCCTTGGCACATATGCTTGGGGTAAGAATCCCATGAGCCGCCTGCTGTATCAATTATTGATTATTTGACATACGGGGCTGTGCGGGAGAGTTGCTGTGGGGCTGGATAGGGTTGGTGGAATCAGTTGCACTCGTTTTCGACCATCCATCGCTGCACATCGCCATACGACTGGCAGTGAATTCTGTTTCCTTCCCAGGTTGGCGAGATCATTTTGTCGGCCATCTCTCCGGGAACCAAATTGATGCCGCACTGCCGCTTGACCATGATCCGTTTTGCGGGTAGAACGCGGCAGTGCAAAGCAGTTCTGACTGCGTGTCTAGGTGCCTCCAGCAACGTCCGCTTGACGTGCCACCTGGGCCTTGTATGCCCGGAAGGGGCTCGCGTGAGGGTAGGCGCAGAATGGGGCACCTGGGAGGACGCATGTCAGACACATTATGACTGCTAGCTGGCTCATGCCACTTGAGTCCTATCAGCATCGCCTTGCATCTTTGGAAGGAGGGCCGCTGCATCTTTTTTGACGACAGTTATGAGCATGAGGCGGAAACACAAACACAAACGCAGACCATTCCCTGCTTCCACTTTTGGAGGGAACTGCAGCTCGCATCAGGTTGTGAACGATGGCAGCTCTATGAGGCCTGAAGCTCTGTATATCAGCAGCCTTTCCATGCTAGTGATATCTACCCGTTGTCATGTTTTCCTGACTGTCAGAGCCTTGAGGATTGTGCTCCTCATCCGGTTCTGGCATCCTGAGCTCGCCATGGAGGAATGGTTGCCAACACTGAACTCTGGAATGGAGGAATATAGTGCCATGCTGCAAAGACGTGTGTCGCCGCCTGTCAACGATAGAGTGACAGAAGCTTGGATGAAAAAGTGGCCCGACCGGGGTCCTGCCCGAGTTATTTTTCCGTTTCTGCAGCTCCAAGGCGAGAGAATCCTGGGTGCTTCTAGAGAAATACTAAGCTTCCTACTGCCCAGCTTTCTCATGAGTAATTAAGGAGATGCTGGCGGCACAGGGAGGTTCCCCCTTCACAACGTTGAAACTTGGCCTGGGAAGACGTCCATGCAGTGCTGGTCTCGGTATGTTTACTTGACTTGTCAGGACAACGGCTTGTAGTGTTCAATGGGTAGGCATGAGCAGAACGGCTGCAAACATGCTGTGTGTTGTCGCATCAACTCCCACAGACCCCGGGGATCACATACAGCCGTCATACAACAAACTGGATTAGCCTCTGAAGCTTTGGAAGCCTGTAGTCGTCGCTGAGGAAAGGTGCCCCACTGAGCAGCGCGGAGCAGGCAGCTGCGGTTCTGAAAGCCGCCACCTGGATTCAGATGAGCAGTATTTGATTTGGGGGTATTATGGTACCCATCATAGAGCAAGATTATATCCTCCTTTTGGGGTATAGTATTTTACACAAGAATATAATCTTATTAGGTTCAACCAGCAAAAAAGAAACGCCACCCAGATGGAGGTGGTGGACCCAGCAACCACAGCTGTATTTCCGATTTGAACCGGACAGTTCAAGTAGCCCAGACTAGATGAAGCTATGGAGCGATTCTTCTTCTTTGCGAGTTATTGCATAAGCACTGAAGCTAACGCTGATTTTGGAAGACAGGATTAGGCGTCGTCGTAAGCAAGCGTCCTGATGGAAACAATCAACTGTGCAATGGCAACATGAGATGATGGCAACAAGAAAAGCAAAAGCACCGTTAAGAATTCTACAAAATTGTGGGCAAGGAATGCTAAGCCCCTCCCGAACCTCCCTGCCAATGAATATGCTTACTAGTATGCGAGAATTCGTGATCAGGTTTTATTGTTATCAGTATGCGGGTTTAGGGTTTAGGGTTTACGGCGGGAGGTTGACTTGCTAGGGGGAGACGGTCAGGCATATGCCCTGCATGATGCGGGGATTTGGCTTGCCTCAATCCCTATACTTAGAACCTGTAGGTATCATATGACAATAATCAGGTCCCAATTTTGCAGGTTGGGGTACCGCTAAAATCCTATCATTTTACACAAGCCTCTACACAAATTGATCCAAGTGTCCACTTTGTTTTCCATGTAATTCTCCATTATCGGGGGTAACAAGGACTGTTGATATTAGAAGATCCTGCATAACCCTTCGTATACTTTCATGCATACCATAGTCCCCAAGGGCAAAAGCTACTTGGGGTGATGCGCCGCGCCCCTGAACCTACCGGGACCCCAAATCCTAAACCTAAACCCTCAACCTTAAATCCTCAACCCTAAACCCTGAATCCTAAGCCATCAACCTTAAATCCTCAGCCCTAAACCCTGAATCCTAAGCCCGAAACACTGGACGCTTGAGGATGCACCTGATCTTTCCATCAGTGGTGCCCCTGACCTTGGCCTGCTGGACATTGGAGATGAGCTCTACTGATCTAATCCGCCCAAACACCTGGACTATCCTGGGTTTAGGGTCCAGGCTTTAGGGATTAGGGTTTAGCGTATAGGGACTAGGGTTTACTGGCACTCAGCAATCCCAGTTGTAAGACGGTTTAGGGTTTAGTTTAGCCACTATCCCCTGGTAATGGAGGATCAAATGGAAAAGATCGTGGACAATGAAATGGAAACCAACTTACATAGGAGTAGAGATATCCAAGACATTTGATGTGCCACGATGGGCATATTGAACATTAGGGGGTGTTTTCGTAATCTTAGGGGTGGGGATTAGGTAGGGAAGCGCCATTAACCGCCCCAGTTCTGAGCACGTGGTATCCAGTAACCTCTTGTAATCGTTCTGATAGAAAACAGTTGGGTTTTGTACCTTCATGTCGTCCCTTTCTTCTACGCTTCTGGTTGTAGTAGTAGTAGTAGCAGCAGCAGCAGTAGTAGTAGTAGTTGTTGTTGTTGTATGCAGCGCATCTGCGGCAGCAAGCATTTGCTAGAGGGTATGCCCAAAGATTGTGTTTTTCAAAGTCTGTTTGGTTCGCCTCAGTTTTCTGTGTCCATATAGGGCAGTTCCATTCTGAGGCATACCTAGATTCTGGCATCACAGCTCAGCAGGCGTAGTAAGTTCTGGAGCGATCAGGGTGGATTATGGACGTGAAAAAGTGAGTGATCGTGGCTTCCCTACAAGGTCCGCAAACTCTAAGCCCTGTTGGAGAATCCCCTACCTCCTAAACCCTTTACCTGGCCCATACACATTCTTCCTAGATGGCAAACTTTTGCTTCTAAACTAGGCCTACAACGGGTAGTTGGGTACCTATGTTCATGCCGACGCCCTCCTGGAGCACTAGTAAGATGAGGCTCGTTCCAAAGCCTGATCCTTGTTTGGGGGTATCCAAGCATAGTTACAACTACCCCCTATGAGCGCGGTTAGTGGGTGGGGGCCGAATCCAACCAGCCTCGGGGATATTGCCCGCGCTCAGTGACAGTTGCATCATGATCGTAATATGCGCATGTGGCAGTTTGCCAAAACAAGGGAACCCCAACATAGACCCCCAAATGCTATAATCCTCTTTGTGGGGACCCCAAAAATGTACCCCTAACTTTGGGACCCCCCCCCCATACATAGCACTCAATATTGCCCCTTTCGTCGACTGTCATCCGGAAACCACTGTTTCTCGGTCCACAATTGAGCTATAGGCTAGACTCCTTAAACGGGCATTAAGTAGGGGAGTATCATACTAAGGGGATATTGAGTTTAGACTGAACCCTCAACCCTAGGGTCACTAAGGGGGGTATATAAACCCTATTCCTACCCTACATAATCCCTATATACCTATGTTGACATAGTAGTTGCCATTTTCTTTTCCATTATCCCTATCTAAACTATAGCTCATATTATCCCTATATCCACATACCTGTATACCCTATATCCCTATATATGGCTTTCTCTGTATGTATATGTCCTGTATGCCTATCCTGTGTTACTACGAATATCTGTAGTGCTGGCAGGCCTCGCAGAGGTCGACATGCGGCGCCTGCGCGTGCCCTCCTGAGAGTTTGCAGTATGCAGATGAGCTATAGCTATAGTCTAGAAAGGATTTTTTGGGGGCTATTAAGGAGGATACTAGGATTGTAGTCTTTAGACTAGCTCAGGTAGTTTTTTGTGGAGTCTTGAGGCTATTTTTTCTACATATATGTACATGTGCAAGACCCACACATATACACATACATACGTATATACACATGCACATACACACAAGGAATACTTGCATGGGGCTCCTTGATCAGAGAGATGAGAGACCAAAATCCTACCTTGTATAGGGAGTCATTGGCCTCTCTAGAGGCATGTCGTGTAGAAGCCATCCTCTGACAGTCCGCAATACAAGTTACTCCCAGGCGCCACTCTAGTTGAACGAGCTCTGTTGCATGAGGCTCCTACAAGGTGACCACATAGGTATGGAATGGTCCACTCCTACTCTCTTTTCCGGCCCATCAAGATCAGGGGAGGCCTCGTTCAGGATGATTTTCGGTTTGTTAGGAATGAAGTAGCCAGCCCCAGACAACTCCCTAGAATAGTCCCTACAGTCGATTCCTTCATTCCTTGCTGACCACTGGTCAGTCATTTGGTTTCAACCCTGGCTCTCAATCTCACACATCCTAAGTCCAAAGCCAGCCTGAAGCCAAAACAGTGAAGCCTGAGTCCTGAATCTTGAAGCCTCAGCCCCAGCGCGGAAATCTTAAACTTGTGATCATGTCTTGATGCCAAGTCGCCCCGAACTGCGCTGCTGTTGCCGCTCCTGCGAGCTTTGGCAGACAAGGCGGGCCAATACGCTCCAGGATATAGGGTTTAGGGTCCTTGTCCTACATTGCTGTGTTTCTGCACATGCAGCCAATTAGCGGTCATCCCTGTTTCCTGAGAGTGTCTCCATGGAAGGATGCCAGAACACGACGTGCAGCAGCCGAAGCCTTGAGCGAGAAGGACTGTCCGAGCTGGACAAGTGGGTACTTTCCAAAAACCCTGACAAAAAGGGTTTCCAAATTCTAAACCTTCAAAATCGCATCCACTCAGACGCAGGGTGAAACTGAGGAAGCATTGCACTTGAAGGGTCATGGCGACTTATGAGGTAGGTAAGACTGGGGACAACGGGATGATAGGGGTTATAGGTATACTTAAGTGGTGGTGGGAGGCCGCGCAGCTGATGAGGCTACCGGTGGTCCTGACGCACCACTCTCAGCATCTGAGTTTCCCAATGCCAGGCTAAGCTGTTTGTAGATACTTTGCACCTTATGGGTTCCAAGCGCCTGGAAGCTAGAACTGTGTATGCATCTCTGCTATTTGGCCTGCTCTGCCTCAACAAGCAAGTTGAAGTGCCCAGACCGACACGGTAATGGGCATTTTGCGAAGCATACCCATTGCAATCCCCAAGTATCTCCGGTATCTCCCCCATCCCCAAATAACTCGGACATGTCTCCTGGGTCCCTATGCCTTGCGCCTGCCTTCTTTGTGTTAGTGCACCTCCCACTGTATAAGACCTATGCTGTGAAGCCTGCCGTGTTCCTCACGCATGGACGCGAAGTAACCCTATGGCACATGCGGATGAGAAGTGAGGCCTCTAAATTTGAAACCCTATATTACCCCTATATAGCCCCTAAATGCCTCTATACACCCCTACGTAACCCCTATATACCCCTATCTATAGATGGGTTATATAGGGATAATGCAAAATACAATGAAAACTATTATTTAGGGTTTAGAATTTTAGAACAAACTTGAATAAGTATGGGGCTGTAGTCAAGATAAGATCTCCTTTTGGGCATCGAATTTATATAAGACGGGTCTATTCTTACTCTGCCCAACCACCGAATCAACCCACTACTCACCTCCCAGGACCCCTCAACTCTAAACCCTAAAGCCCTGAATCCCTACAACCCTAAAAACCCTCAACTCAAACGCTCTAAATGCAAAGTACTTAGAGTACTCGAAGAAGTGCTGCTCGACGGATTTCTACAACGAAATTTTCTCTTTCATGGCCACAGGGGAGGCCGGCACATCTTCGCACACGGTTTTGGAGAATATCCAGCTC